AGTATGTAAGGCATGAGTGTGATAAAATGGGAGAAGGAGAGAATGATAAGAATGTTAGAATGGTTATACTCAAGTCCATTTCTTGGAGAGCTGGAATAAATATACATAATATCTATCCATGGGTTTCAAACCATGTTTCAACATCTTTCCTAATTTAACCACATTTTATCATCGATATTGTTAAGGCACCGTAGCTAAATTCACGGTGATATTCTTTAGAAGACGCATGCGTATTCAGAACCAGGAGCCGAAAAACGCTGGAAGTTTCGCCTCTGTAAGAGTACTCTGTGATTCTACGTTGTAGGGTACGTGTACGTGCAAGAATCGCAGCGCGCCTGCCTAACGCGCTTCAGTTCTACGCGTCGTAAAGGTCAGGTCATTCAGCGGAGGTTAACCTGTGTTTCGTGGCTTCTCGGTTAACACGTTGGAAACGGCCACGTTGGCCCACGTACGCACGGCCACCAATAAAGCAACAATTCCCTTTCGAATTGACCAATCGTCGTCCAAACCTCCTCCCGTTCGCTTATCTTCCCGCCAAAGGCGACGGATCGTTTTAGCGGACGATTATCTTCCTCGAGAGTGCACAGTCTCTCGAAGCTTACGCCTTTCGAGATCGCACGCCTCGAGGACCGCTCGATCGTCCACGCCGTAGGGTGTTCTTGGATCGCTGTAGTTTTCCTCTCTCGAACAACAGACTATCCTCCTTCAGGTACGCCCAGCTAGTCAACGTTTCCACACTCTAAACGATTCGCCAAAGTGATTGGCAGTAGAGCTTACTGTAAATATAATACGCGAAAGATAAACTCGACGGCGAGCTCTTCGGTGATACTTTCAAAACGAGATAAATTGTAAATATTTGTTCGTTAAATAATAATTTTTATTCCTTTTTCCAACATCTTGTTCTGTTTCTTTTTGAAACAGAAACGGTAGTAGCGCAAGCTTTACTATGGTAAATTATATAAAATATGAAAAGTTGTTTAGAAGAAAATTTACACATGGAAGAATATAGAAAAGAAATATGACGTTTTTAAAGAGATTATCCACTTTCACAGAATGTATTATATGTATGTTTTTTATTATCTCTTTAACTTTTCTTTTCTAATTTTTATTAAAATTTTAATTTTACCTACATTGATCTTGTAAAGTTTAGTACGTAATTATTTTAGTTGTCAGATTTAGATAAATGCCCGGAAAAACAGGCTCTACCGCATGTTGAAACATTGATCAATAAAACTTTGTCTATAATAATAATAATAATAATGATTCTGTCGATGATGATGAAATATTACTTTCCTTGCCATGAATTAAATCTTCAGAGGTAATAATTATTACACACTGACAGTACCCAATTATAGCAGTAAATCAATTATCTGTGATACTAAATATTACCAAAAGACGTATACAATAAGTTAAATATTTAAAAGTAATTATTTAATCTCTTTATCATTCGACATTAGATTAAGCGCACTTCAATTGTATATATTGTACAGAAATGCAAAGCTTCCTTAATATAATAATAATAATAATTTTATAAACATATATTTATGAATATTATAATCAACATTAAAGTAATGGTTATTTCTAAATTAGCATGACGAGTCCTGAAAAATAGTATCCTCTAGAGTCCTCTATCGTAGATTAATCCCCTACTGCCATAGTAATATACATATTCATAGTTCAAACATTAATAAATCGTAATAAATTGTACAGAAATGCAAAGCTTCCTTAATATAATAATAATAATAATTTTATAAACATATATTTATGAATATTATAATTACCATTAAAGTAATGGTTATTTCTAAATTAGCACGACGAGTCCTGAAAGATAGTATCCTCTAGAGCCTTCTATCGAAGATTAATCCCCTACTGCATAGTAATGTACATATTCATAGTTCAAACATTAATAAATCGTAATACCAATTTTGAATTCCGCGTAGCGATTTCTTTCCGAAATACCCGTTTCTGAAAGCAACTCGATTCGACCATCCAACAAACCAGAATACCGGAACGAAGAATCACTGCAAAGAAGCATAGACGCACGATGCGTCCACTATCGGTGCCCGTGTAAAAATACCGCTATCTAATCTTCCATGGTTTTCGAGACGATCGTGGCTTGCAATCTACCGCTGTATCAGAAATATTTTTAATTAGGATGTGGATGACACTCGCGAGCGGCCTTCAAGCGGTCGCGTCTGTGGACGCGGACGACGTGGCCAGTGCTGCACCGGAAGCGGATTCCGACGCTTTGTTACCAGAAGAGATCCCTGGTTTCGATGGGAAGCTCCCGACGCCTCAGCAACTCCTCGAGGTGCTCGACTCGATGACCGGCATGTCGGACGAGGAGAAAGCAAGTCTCAAGGAAGACTTGCTGAGAAATATTCAAGGAGATCCCATGACATCGGCACCTGGCAGTGATTTAACAATGCAGACCGTGGTACTCTTGTCTCTGCTGGGCGTAGTCGCTCTCATTTTCGGTAAATATCGTACCGTGCATTCAACTGTCGAATCCAAAGTTCTTTTTGAACGTATCGCCATTGTTCGTTAGATGATTCATTAAACTCTAGGATTACGAGACTCTTCCATTACCTTCCATTACCGAGACCTTCCATACCCTTCCATTGGAAAGGTGGCCAGAATGGTTTCACATTAACACTTTATCTACCGGGGTATTTAGAAACAGACTTTAAATCAAAAAAGAATTTTCTACAGTAGCATATGTAGAAATAACTGACAATAATTCCTCCATACTGTTACTGGGTACATTGAAAGCCAAGTCTGTTTCCAAAGACTGAACATTGTAAGTAGACAATCATCAACACAGTAAATAAATTCGAAGCTAAATACTGCAATTAAAAAGTCTATAAATAGGCTCCCGGTAAATAGAGTGTTAACAGGGTTAACCCTTTGCACTGGAGAGGTGAGTCTCAGTCACTATTAGGTTTCCTTTAGGTTTAATTTCTTTGGAACTCGAAGTGCCAATAAAATGATTGTCGTTGAGGCAAAGGTGACCTGATTCTCAAATCTCAAATTAGAGATCTCATTCGAGAAGTCAATATAATCTTAGCATTAGTGGCAATAGAATGCTAAGAAAGCATCTTGAGTTGCTGGTAGATACCAGAAAAAAAGGCCTCGAGTGCAGAGGGTTAAATTTATACAAAATATTGCTAGTTCTGGTAAAAAGAGCAATACTACTACGTTTTCTAGGTGCGCTCATCGTCGAAGCTTCTATAGCCTCGTTTGAACAATCTCTTAAAGAAGTTACATACACTAACTTACAAATAATTATAAATTATACAACAAACAATTTCTCGCTACGCAAACTTCTTTTAAACGCGAATTTCTTTTAAAGGAACTGCCTGGTATTTCTAACAAAAGTGTGGTTCCTCTATTATATATACACACAGTAAGAAATAATCCAATAAAAATAAAAATTGAAACATATAATTTTTCTTAACGTAGTGTAACGAGATATCTTGATTTGTTCGAACAGCGTCGTAGTTCTTATTTTAATTCATTCAAAAAGGATTATACGAACAAAATATGCCCTGGATCTACATCTTTAAAGCAACTCTTACACTGTCCCCTTAATATTCCGAGCCCGACACTGTCCTCTTTTGATATTCAAGGCTTTGATCGCGAGCTTAGCATTTCTCGAGGATTCCACGAAGCAGGTCAAGATTTAATACGAAGTCTAATGTCGCTTTCCGTTTACATGAGAAATTAGGTCGAATCCTGTCTCCTCTTGCCCTTGTTTCGTCCATGAAAGAGCCGATTAAGCGAATCATTTTGTTTTATCAACAGAGTTGCACAACAAATGACGTTCGAGGTCACGAATGGCGGTTTGGACACCTGTTGTAATCATTTTTCAGTTTGTCGTTCTACATTTTATCTAATCGGCCACTTAACTGTTGCCAGTGAACGGTCATTTAATCAGATTAAGACTCTTCTGCTAAAGGTGTTACTTAATAACTTAGCGTTGCTTAACGACTACACTTCCGGAAGACAAGAGAGAGTTTCGTGATTTGTTTCTTTCCTTTCGAGTGAAACGCGTTCGAAACATGGCGCAGAATATTTTGGACGTTTTGCGGAAGTCAGGCGTGTTGACCGATAATTTGCAAGACAAACTGGCGGATTTGCTACCGAAGGATAGCGCCGAGAAACTGTCAGGAATCTTTCAACGATACGAGCAGCTGAACGACGAAGAGAAACAGGAATTCTGGAATAATGCGTTGGGAAAGCTCAAGCATTCTTTCCAGGATGAAACGACGAATGATTTGAACATGTACACCAGGTTCTTCTACTCCCACTCGTATACTATTTTCTTTTTTGCTGTGCTGTTGATAGTTCTCGTTCTTGGTACGTTGTATTTGCTCCGAATTAACATTATTCTCGTGGAATCGTCGTCCTTTTGTCCTTTACAATTATTGTTTCCTTAAATATGTATTTACTATTTACGCATATTTTCTTCGTCTTTTTCTATTTTTATTTTAATTTTCTACTACGTTACTAAGATCATCATTCGCTATATTTCTAATTTCGATTTATCACAGATTGTTTTAGAACTTAGAATAAGTACACTCAGTTAGTACAGTTTACGTACTAACTGTAGTTCAGTTTACATACTACGCGTAGTTAGTACTAAATATAAGTTTTATTAGCTTAGTACTGATCCTTCTCCAATACAGATAACTTTCCCGTACATAAATAAAAAAAATAAATAACTAAATAAATATATACATACATGTTTCATTGTGGTTGCAGTTTTCTTCGTTTATAAATTGTTCAAATGCCTGAAGCAGAGAGAAGCGAAGCGAGAGGAGAAGAAAAAGATTAAACAGATGAAGAAGAAGAAGTAATCCAGATGACAATCACGAAAGGTGTCGCATTAGCGACGAAATATAATACGCAACGCGTTCTACACGCGTTGTTCGGCGGATAATCTATCATGTTTAAAGTAAGATGAAAGACGATCAACGTTTTATTATAACTTATTCTATTTTGTTAAATAAAATATATTTATGAGTAAAACTGTATTCGTTCGGTGGACCATAGACAAAAAATACGTAGAGGGTACCAGTGGATAATTTGGCATCAGAGAATTATTTATTGTGCCGTTCTGTGATATACATGACATGGGTGGAAATTCCTAATGGACTATACCGCATGCAGTTTACCAATTTGCGCTCGAATTTCCCCGTGTGTCACGGCGGAGTACACCTTAAAGTACACTAATGTTAGACAGTTCTTTCGAATAACGCGTAAAGCCTTCTCAATTGCTACACGGTACATTCGAGGTCACTTACGATGCAAACGGATACGTGTTATACGTCGCATCGAGCATGTTTGATACACCGCTGCAGTTCGATCGTAGATAAAATATAGAAAAAATGAGAGAAAAAAAAAAAAGAAAACTGTCGGTAGCAGTACCATAAACACTTGTCGCGTTTCGTGGATTCGTATCCGTTCGTATCTTCGCAAGAATTCCATTACACTTACGATTTAGCGTTTGATAAATAGTTTATAATACTTCATGCGTTTTTTTTCCCAGACCCTCGAAGCATTCAAGGAAAATTGTTCGTTTCCTTTTCAATTTGTACTACGAAACAGAATAAACATTTTCATCATTTTTTTTCGACGTGATAATCTCTTTGTTATTTTTACAGTTCTAACGTTTGGCTAATAACGGAAAAGGCACTTGTATTTTCTTCTACGGACGCTCTTTTTAATCTCGAAGAACAGAACCATCGGTACCGTACTTTTTTTTTTCCTATCGGTGATGCACACTTTCCGTTTTCTTTTTTCAGACTTACAGGACTATATAACATCGTTGTAATTTATAGAAATAAAAAATATTACACTTTGTGTAAATAGAGATCATACTCATCAGCAGCGTCGTCGACTAACGCTCCAGTTGACGTCTGTAAATTTCTAATTACAACAGATTCGTTGCTGATGAATAATCGTAACAACAACAACATTTCGCAAACTAGATTTGCAAATTCTCTCGTGGCACAAAGATTGAGTAACAGCGGATGTTGCCGCGACTTAGATATTCTCTAAATATACTTCAAACTAAAAACGATCTCCTTATAAGCTACGAAAAAAAATCGGAAGGAAATATATGCACGTTATATGTACGTATGTATTTTTGTAACGGTGAAAATACCTCACTTATTAAGCGTCAAAAATATAGATATCGTTCGAGATACAATTATACTGAAACCTTCTAATGAGTATTAAATATACAGTAAAAATCGATTTCTTTTCGTTTGCAAACAAGTCCTCATCTTCGAGGAACTTATATTATCGTCTTCTTTCGAAGAATCGTTTATCTTTAAAGGATCGCGTAGTCGTCTACCATTAGCTAAGAATTAAAGATATTGTCACCTACACTGTTCTGTTCCTTTATCAGGAAATAACTCCAAAATCGACTCCAAAAATCCGTCTATAATTTTCATCGTAATTGACGCATTGAAAAAGGATAGAACTCTGGAAAATTTACATTTACGTAGTAAACATTTTAATGCTTCTCTACGTTATAATTTCCCGTCGAATCACAGATGCATTTGGCAATGTAGGACACATGGAAGATCGCTATTACCCAGTTTTGTTATTAATTTATTAATCGATGTGCACTTTAGGGACGCGACGACGGCTTCAGAAGTAGCTTGTATCGTTCGCTCGCGTTATCTGTAATAACAAAGAAAGTGAAGAGATATTTAATCCTCACCAAATATCAAGTGTTTTAGAGTTGACTTGCTCGTTGTTTTATCCTATGCGCATATCAAAAACATCGCACTAATACTATTTGATTTAAAAAGATATATATTCTTTTTTTTGAAACGAATATACTGTACGATATTTTGTACGAATATATTTTGTATTGAAATTACGCTTTCTTATTTTTGTCTACTATTAAAGAAACAAAAAACTATTTTCAGTTGATAAGAAAAGAAGAAAAGATATTAAATAAGAAAAAAGGCGATAATTAAAACTGTATTTCCTTCTTTTGTAATACCTATTAGGTTGTCCCAAAAGTTTCTGATGGGTGTTTAGCCCACATTTGAATCACGCGCGACCGTACACGCGATCTTCTTTCCACTTCTACTTCTTATGTTATATACGGTTAGTTCGTTTCTCAGTTCCTTCTTTTCTATTATCATTCAAACATTATAAGTAGTATTTAAGTTTATATCCATATATATTTAATAAATATATTTAATCGTAACCCAACAGTTTCTTTCGCTTTATTAATAAGTAATACATGCACGGTATTTTATGTTTTATGTTACATTACTGAATTGTGCACGATTCATTTTGCTCCATTACTGTTGCAACATGAATATCTATGAAATTAGATCGTCTATTTATATAAACACAACCACATCAAATAATTGAGTGGAAAGTCGCGAAAGAAACTTTCGGGACAACCCAATACATACTGAAATTTGGACATGCCTATAAGAATTTTATATTATAATATGTTATTATCTTTTCACTGTGAAATACTTAAATCCAATAATTCAAATTCAAATATGTATTCAATGAATTCAACTTGTGGAAAGTTGTCTACGTTTTATTCGTTATTCAAAATGTTAATTTAAATAAGAAATTTTGCCCTTTCTCCGTGCTTCTGAGTGAATATCCTTCTTACCTTTGATAGTCTCAACGAAGTACATGCTTTCGTCTTTCATGTTCGCTACCAATTCATCGGTAACCAAAACATGGATACCCTGCGGGCCAAGGAAGAGTACAGAATGCAGTCGATCGTGAGGTAAATTCAGGGTGTTCAGCAGCTTGTTCATCAAGGCGCTGCTGCTCAAACTGTCCAAGTAGGCAACCCTCCAAAGGGAACCATTGTCTTCCAACGAGAAATACAGAGTGAGTTTTGGGGTCGGTGCTTTCGAGTGCAGCGCGTTGAACAGTCTGATACCGTCCACCAGCCCGCAGATTTGGATCAAGTCGTCTCGAGAGAGTCGCAAGATATCCGAAGCCGAGAAGCTCGCGAACGTGGACTCGAAGGCACTGAAACGACCTGCACGAAGCCACGTGTTTGTTTGGGCTGCGTTCGCATCAGGTGACAATGGAGCCAGGCACGATGATACCTGGACATAATTGAAAAAGACAATTATTTCTGAAACTTCATCCGAAGTGTAATTTTAATGTATAGAGGAGATGTAGCTTTGGAAAAAAAGTTCATTGTGAATATTGTATATTACTGGGTCAGTGCCACCTTAATGTATGGACACTAAGAGGCCTCGTGCTAGTCTATGCTACGTTGAACTCATCAGTGCTACAAATATAGTGATGAAAATGAATGTGAACTTTATGTGACATTGGTCTTCAAAATCTGTTTTTACCTCCTGGATTACATTGACATGTGTTTAAGTTAGCCATCACTCATGTACGTATATAAAGCATAACATTCTGAAGAACATGAATTTCAAACATATTATAAAACAATTTTCTACAAAGAAATTTCGCAAATGTTTAATTTAGCACTTTTGTAAAATAAAAGTATACTTTCCATTTTATCAACCATTTATATTAAGACTCCCATGAGTTGTATAGATAAGGAGCTCTATTGAACTGATTTGGCCAGAGACCCGTGATGTCATTAAGATGGCCCTGTACTTTTTATTGAAATCTTGTTGTGGATACAGAGTGAAGAGCATAACTGTACCAATAACCACAGATTTCGCATAATTACTTTTATATTGTCATTAGCATTAAGCTATACAAACAATAGGTATCACAGGAACGTTTTGCGTTATTCAATGTATTAGAAACAATTCCCCAAAGTTACCGACGTGTTGATGTTCACCTGTAAGAAAGCATATTCATTGATACAGTTTAGCACGATGTTTTTAGCAATACAATTTTCTAGTTTTAATAGCTTAGTAGTCTTTAAATTTCAGACTGCGTGATTGACTCATTTGTACAACATAGAGGAAAACTGTATCAACGAATATATTTTATTACAAGTAAACGACATCATATCGATGACTGTACAAAATTGTTTGTAATACAAAAGTTAATGGCAATATAAAAGTATTTATATAAAATCTGTGATTTTTCGTACAGTTATTGCATTGTATATTTAAATTATTATAGTACAAAGTACGAGGATACTTTAGCAAACTTTGCCCTGTTTATTTGCAACTCACTCTCAGTGTAAAAACAAATAATGATTAGGAACCGTTTATCGTCTCGAACAAAATCTAGAATGCAACGAGAACTGTAGGACCAGATTCCAAGCCGACATTACTGTTTATATTGTTCGGTGTATACTACAAAATTCTCCCAAAGTATATGGTACAATTCAAGATGAGATGATTTGTTTAGAAATAATGATTAGGTCCGCGTAAAGAGATTTCATTCCACGGTATTTAGTAATTTTTCTTTTAAGGTTGCACCATACATTTGGGTTAATTTTATATATTTTTAGGGTCTGTACCGGTACTAGTTGCCTCGGGTGGTCTAAATTCTTTGCGGGCAAACTAACTTCTGCTTTGATGCAGGACTGGTCTGGTAGAATCGCCGCAGGCGATGGCAGAGCCGGTGCCGTTCCCACGTTTTCCTTGGTGGCGTCCGAGGCAGGGACCAGTGGTACGATACAAGGATTGGAAACCGACAGTGCCAATGGCGCAACCACGGGCGAAGTACTGCCACTTATGGTCGAGCGGGATTGGGGTGATCTGCAAGAATAAAGAAACTGTAAACTACACTTTCCGATGCTAATAGTTTTTTTGTAGGTAGACGTATAAGCGAAATACGAATGTTTTTGAAACAAAATTAAATGAAGTAAGAATAGAAATGTGGAGGTATGTCTATCCTAAAAGTAACAGTTACCAAGATTCTTGGATACTCAGTGGATTCTTGGATATTGTTCGAAGTATTAGAACAATAATTTTTGAGCTACAAAATCAATCCAAATCTTACAATTTCGAATATTATTAGTGGAAGGTGGTCTGGTGCAGTTATAGAAGCTGTATATTCTAGAAAGATCTATGATTCAAGATTACTCTGGGGTAAATAGTAGTATGTACTACAATAAACGATTTACCTATCTACCTCAGAAAACATTAGTTTTAGGATAAATACCCTCTGATACTTTTATATTCAAGATTCGTTACTCTATAGAATGTACCATTCAAAAGTTAGTAATCGTATTAGAAAGAAACTTTGACATTCGTATCTCCCTTGCACCTCCACCAAGAAAAAACATCTGTTATCCTATTACAACCTCCGTTAAAACCAATTACGATTAGTTTGAAATATTTTTGTCTATCACCAAAAATAAATGAGTTATTCGGGTAGCCTATATAATATACCTCAATCTCTATATAAACATACACTGTCTCTCAAAAGTTTTGATCTTTATCTTTTAAACAAAGAATCTTTACTTGATACAACTTCCTAAATTTATTGCAAGCTTCGGATGCATCAATCTTCATCGACGTTTTAATTCTGGACATAGGGTCTGTTAACGTTTCGATTAAGCAATCCATAGGAATCTTTTGTTTGTAAATTAGCAATTTTGCAAAAGAGTCTAAAGCTTGCGATAAAGAGCGAGAATTGCATATTATGTTTATACGATGCCCCCTCGTTGAATTGCATACTAATTTGAAAATTCCTTATGTGGTCAGCTTAAACTAGCTGAAAGTCAAGTATGTACACGTTCATGCTGCCAACGAGCATGTAACAACGATTCGAGTCAATAGTATTCGCTACAATTGTAAGAGCAATTATCTTTCGTCCGATCCGTGTAATCCGAATTCCGAGCGCGTACAATGTCGAAGCTCGGCTAGTTTTACGCGCGAGTAGTTTTGCATTCGTGAACGAGATACATTGTAGAGCAGACGTTACGGAAGATTGACGTCCGCGCGCGGCGCGAATTAACGGCATCAGGCGCAATGAAAGCAAACACGGTTAATAATTGACACCGCAACCTATCGCGATGTGCGAATATTAAGTCGTCAGACCCTGTCAGGTTATCAGGGAACAAGGACTATCATTTCTAATGAATGCTTCGTTTCGAAACGAATGCACGACGGAATAAATAATGTTGTTTAATCGTTGACCTTAAACTCGCCTAACTTATTGGTGGGTTGCATAAGCACGCGAGCTCTCGGAACACGCAAACCATCGGAATTTTTGTTCGTCTTGTTTCTTTTACGTATCATTAGGCGTAGAAATTAATTCTATACTTTTATGTCGACTCATTTATGACTCTAGTTTAACTAGAAATATTTACTCGTCATTTTGTTACGTTAGAATACGAATTTTCTAAATTCTCAATCTTATCTCCGTTACAATACATCTAAATATATAACACAAGTCTCAACCTGATGGACATTAGAATGTACCTAATACACAAAGTTTAACAGTCATCAAATTTCAGCTATCGTCATTATTTTAACATATTATAAATGTACTTGAAAATTAATAGGCGTAGAAATTAATTCTATACTTTTATGTCGACTCATTATGACTCTAGTTTAACTAGAAATATTTACTCGTCATTTTGTTACGTTAGAATACGAATTTTCTAAATTCTCAATCTCATCTCCGTTACAATACATCTAAATATATAACACAAGTCTCAACCTGATGGACATTAGAATGTACCTAATACACAAAGTTTAACAGTCATCAAATGTCAGCTATCGTCATTCTTTTAACATATTATAAATGTACTTGAAAATTAATAGGTGTAGAATTGAATTACGTATAACATTTATGATTACAGTTTAAACAGAAATATTTACTAACAATGAGACACATAGATTGCTTCGACATTTTATTTCTACAACTATATGTACTCTTTTAGCATGTGTGACTACGGGAAAATGAAAAATTGTAAGTTTACATTAGAAAGGCACAAAATTAATTTCTATGCCTAATACGCTTCTCGTTATTGTTAAGAGAGAGTATCGTTATCAATAGAAATTTGACTGTCCTTCCTAGTATTTGTAAACCGTTTACAGTCCTAAACCGATATATCGAGGAGGTTGTACGTAAAAACATATAATACTTGAAAATTAGTAGATGTAAAAATTAATTGAGTATATCATTTATGATTACAGTTTAAACAGAAATATTTACTAACAATGAGACACATAGATTGCTTCGACATTTTATTTCTACAACTATATGTACTCTTTTAGCACGTGTGACTAAGGGAAAATGAAAAATTGTAAGTTTACATTAGAAAGGCACAAAATTAATTTCTATGCCTAATACGCTTCTCGTTATTGTTAAGAGAGAGTATCGTTATCAATAGAAATTTGACTGTCTCCTATACTATTTGTAAACCGTTTACATTCCTAAACCGATATACATATACATATACTGTATTGAGGAGGTTGTCCGTAAAAAGTAGCCAACAATGTTTTAAACAAACGTGCCAAAGTTTCGTTCGAGATCTTACATGGCGCGTCTCCTCGATCGAAAGACCAGCTTGGATACTCCCTTCCCGTCGATCCTCTTGTTGTTACGGCCTTTTCTTATCTTGATGCTGACTAAACCACCGCGCATGAGATTACCCCTTCTCGCTCTGGATTCCGAAATAGAATGAATAAACTTAGCCACCACTTCCACTTGCAAGGGACCACCAGTGATCGTTACCTCGTGCTCCAGAAGGTAAGCAGAGACATCGCCGAGAAATTCGGGCATCGATCTGATGGCCCAGCAGCTCTTCAACTTCCAACTGGGACAGTGCTTTGGCATCTCGAGTACTCGCTTCTTAAATTCCATCTGGCATTTCTCGAACATCTTTCTCTTGCACTTTCCTCTCCGTGCGCTTTTCTTAACTATCAGCTCGCGTTTACCTCGAAACCTTTCTTTCGTCTCTTCGAACGTTCTTTCATGAATGCAGGCAATCTGACCGCGCGAACCTTCGAGCAAATACGAATTGCTTTCCCATCCATTCGTATAAATTTTAGTGACGATCGACGATCCCCTGTTGGCTTGCCTTACGGAGCATCGACAACCACATCGCGATCTCCGAGCTTCAAAAGCAACGTCGGCTTTCCGCGTGATCAGCTTTGCACCTCGTTCGCAACTGGGAGCCCCAATCGATACGTTCGAAAGTCTCGGTTCGCGAACCAGAAGGCCGATGTCGGATACAATCGGTATGAATCAGATCGCTATTGGTACGCGCGTCTGCCCCGAACCGGATATCTCCAGTCACGGGATCCGTGCGCAATTGTTGCGCTAAATTTTAAAAAGTACTCAATCCCTCGTTGATAACAAACCCTATCTTCTTTAACAAGACGGGCTGCGATAGAAAGCTCTTATCTTCTCGTAATTTTGCTTTTTTTTTTTTGCAATTTATCGATCCTCTGTTTATTTTAAAAACAGTGTATAAATTGTTTAAGATCAGTATTTATTCCTCGCTAGGAAAATGAATTTGCTTCACCAAAATATGTGGCAAACGAGTTTAGTATTTGCAGAAATTTTCTTCGTCAATCTCTATTCGAAAATTCCGTTGAATTTCAAGTGTAATGGCGTGTTTATTTGACATTAGGTATATGTATTTTTCTAACCAACGTGTGACCTATGCGATGCTAGACGAATCCTTGATGAATGATCAAACATCGAATATTTAGGAACTCTTGTGTCTTTTATCATCGGTACTTTTCTTCCTTGTTCTTCGAGTTTCTTAGCTACAAGTAGCTCTTCAAAAATTCTTGTTTCGCGTTGCCTCGATTCGCCCGGACAATTGTTACCAGAATCGAATTAAGGCTTGGGCCATAGGGACCTCTGGGGATCTTTAGAGATTAAGTAAAAAGCTACTTCATTGAATACTAAACCAAAGCGTAAGTACTCTAAATAATCTCTTTAGAAAATGGTGCAATTGTCCTAGATATTCCTGTGGTGCTTTTGAGAGAATAGTAAAAAGTTCTCTCGTCCCGTGGTTTACTATCCGAATATATCTAATGCAAACTGGATGTCACGATGCGTTTTAGTAAACTTTTACAAACGCGAAGCGAATGTATTTGTTATAAAAAGTTACACTATATTTATATTTATTTTAACAACTGTATCGCACGGGTGACAGAACAGGATACAAAAAAATGAACACAATGGACAAAATTCAGCATCGATACGTGTAGCTGACCCATTTAAGCAAATTTAACAAAAATGCTTCGGCAATATTTAGAGTTAACACACAGAAACGTGTAGTAAACATACTAAGAAAAGAAAATGTGTACCGTATACAAATATGTACATACACGCGGTACCCTGTAGTCCCCGGGGGTGTAAAAAGAATCTTAATCAGACGCTGTGAACGATTCCGTTGTTGGACGAATCGGGTTACTTCCTTAGATCGCGTTACCGATTCCGATCGCTCGACAGCTTCGGATCGAGCCCGGTAGCGATCGCCGAAACCGTGGTATCCGATTCGATCGATACCTCCAAAGACCCTCTCGGTCTCGCTAGGGGAGCGATGCCTCGCGAGATCGTAAAGGATAAAGGAAAGAACGAACAGAGAACATTCAGTTCAAGGCTGAATCGAACCGCCCTGGCATCAGCTTTTCGGCGGCCAGGCTGCTCGTCATCTGAGCAAGTGATCCTGCCGTGAGAGGAGCACCTGGCTGGCCAGGATCTCGCGCGGGATCACGCGATGATCGTCGACGCGCGACAACGACTCGAGATCGATGATGCTCGACGCGCGAGAGTATTGAGGACGATCGACCGGAAATCGTGCTTCTACGCCGTATGAGGGCATTCCAACGGCGTGCGGGCGCTTCACTCTCGATTCTATGCGCAATCGATTACAGAAAACTTTCGCCGGTTCCGTGCAGCAATGGCGGTCACTCCTTCGTCGTCGTTGCAATGCGATCGCTGGTTGGAGAGACGGATGAATCACGGGGAGCCTTGTGGGCGGAATTTATCGCGATCCAGATTCGCCGGACAACATTACACGTTAGGCGCGAATCACCAGGGGAATTTTATTCATACAGTAGACGAATAAAATTAAGCGTGCTGCACTTTATCTTCGAACGTATAGTCGAAGGTATAGTCACTCATCGCTTCACTAATTTTATGTAGTATTTCTTTTCTTGCCCTTCTTCTCTGGTACACTAATTATTCCACAACCTTATTACCGTTTTCGAGGGTAGATTAAAGACACCATTCAGCTGCGCCGCATTCTCTGTATATTAATTTGTTACACGATCTTGTTAAAATAAGTCGTAGTATTACTTATTCGTGATGGTCATTAGAATGAAAAGTCACTCGAATAAGTAAAATATTAATTCTTGTTCGAACCAGTAACGAATAACAAGTTTATCTATCGTTCCTTAATTTTCATCTTTTGCCGATCCCCGGTGCAAAGTACGGAGCAGAGTAGACGAATCAAATTAAACGTGCAGCACTTTATCTTCAAACGTATAGTCGAAGGTATAGTCACTCATCGCTTCAGAAATTTTATGTAGCACTCCTTTTTCTTCCCTTCTTCTCCACTAATTATTTCACACCTTGTTTTCGAGGTTAGATTGAGGCCAACATTCAGCTGCACCTCAATCCTCTGTATATTTATTATCCTCTATATTTATTTTCACACAATCTTGTTGAAATAAGTCGTAGTATTATTTATTCGTGATGTGTATTAGAATGAAAAGTCACTCGAATAAGTTCACGTTAACTCCACACGGCTGTTAATGTATAATTAAAGTTTTAATTCTTGTTTGAACCAGTAACGAATAACAAGTTTATCAAACATTCCTTAATTTTCATCTTTTGCGGATCTCCGGTGCAAAGTAGACGGAGCAGAGTAGACGAATCAAATTAAACGTGCAGGACTTTATCTTCAAACGTATAGTCGAACAAATTTTATGTAGCACTCCTTTTTCTTCCCTTCTTCTCCACTAATTATTTCACACCTTGTTTTCGAGGTTAGATTAAGGCCAACATTCAGCTGCACCTCAATCCTCTGTATATTTATTTTCACACAATCTTGTTGAAATAAGTCGTAGTATTATTTATTCGTGATGTGTATTAGAATGAAAAGTCACTCGAATAAGTTCGCGTAAAATTGTAATTCTTGTTTGAACCAGTAACGAATAACAAGTTTATCTATCGTTCCTTAATTTTCATCTTTTGCGGATCTCCGGTGCAAAGTACGGCTGCTATCGCCCGTTGCACGATCGCTGGCCTGAATCGTCCACGATCCTCTCTCCGGGAATCGGGTGTTCCGGATGTATTTTTACATTCACGGTCGACGCAGCGATCCTATTCTTCCCCGGCGCTCCGAGTTCGTCGAAGGACGCGAACGGACAGCTCGTCCGGCACGAATTATTTTACAAGGAAACGATTAACTCATTTCCGTGCATCGTGCACGAGTCTCGAGGATCACCCTGATGCACCGACCAGTCCACGTGGGGGGGATTCGATTGTCTCGGATACGTTTGACGTGGTTTAACGTTTGACGTTTGCCTCCGACGTGGAGAATTTATCGCGTGTCTCTGGTCGAGGAACCGAAGCGTAGTTATTGGAACCGAATCTCGAATGCTCGCAGGAATATCTCGAGGAACCAACAACACAACACGTCTCGTTTCTCAGTGAATTCGTCACAGGAGAAGACAGTCACCGATCACCGCTTTATTTATAAACAAGCGGCCTCAGCGGTAGATCATGTCTGCGACTCACGCTCGATACCGTTTCCCGTCGACTGTGCCGTTCACTGTGGCTCGTGGTCGCGCGCCACGATCCTCGTCCCGTGAAAGATTGCCGGAGGACGAGGACGGAACAGAAGATCGAAACGTTAATCGAAAGGCTAATTCAACCGGTGTATAATCGCGACAGTATGAACGACTCTGTATCGGTCGTAACAGGCTGATGAATAAACGAAAACCGAAGCGGCTACGTAGCGACGCGTGTATCGTGCGGCGTTCTGAATCTATTTGTCGTCGAGGTTTTCTCTCTCTTTCCCTCGGAGCGGATCGTTGTCGGCTCTACCAGACGCCGGCTCGTGCCAGTTCGAGCCAGTTTCTCGACTCCCGTGCCGGCTCCTCCTCTCCCTCTACCGAACCATAACCCCTTCTTCGTATCGTCCATTGCCATTACCATCGCCACACAGCTTCGCGAACCGCTTCCAACTCCCACCTTCGATTCATCATGGATTCCCCTTCTCCTACGACCGCGTTTCTCGAGAGGAAAGCACGGCAACGTTGCACTTACATTTGCAGCTTTGTTTGCTCGATGCATCGCGCATTGGAAACCTTTCATCTCGAACGTATTGTTTTTTATTAGGTTAGCGCACCGCGACAATTTCTTGCTTCACGACGAAATTTTTCATCCACTGAATGTGCTTTCTTTTCTTAATGTTTACAGTAAATCTTCCTCTAACGCGGTTTCCATATTGCGCGTAACAAAATGGCGACAACCTTTCTATAACAAGGTGCAAATTAATTCCTATCATGGAAACGGTATTTTTTCCTATTAGCGCACCGCGACAATTTCTTCTTTCACGACGAAATTTTTAATCCACTGAATGTGCTTTTCTTTATGTTTACAGGAAGTCTTCCCCTAACGCGGTTTCCATATTGCGCGTAATAAAATGGCAACAACCTTTCTATAACACAGTACAATTTACTTCCTATTGTAATATGTTGTAATGTGAATGTTGGATGAATGTTAATATGTAAAACCACTAGGCATGTTTATACGTTTTATAGTTGTCAGTTATGTTTATGTTAGTAATTTATTGATTATTCATTCATTTTGTATTTTGTATTGCGATTTCATTTTGTCTATGATATGTTGTCTGTTGTCTTTGAATTTTGACATTTTTACGCCGAATTTTGACTCATTTGTACAACATAGAGGAAAACTGTATCAACGAATATATTTTATTACAAGTAAACGACATCATATCGATGACTGTAAAAAATTGTTTGTAATACATTAAATGGTGCAAAATGTTCCTGTGATATCTGTTTTCTTGTATGCCTTAATGTCAATGGCAATATAAAAGTATTTATATCAAATCTGTGACTTTTCGTACGGTTATTGCACTGTATATTTAAATTATTATAGTACAAAGTACGAGGATACTTTAGCAAACTTTGCCCTGTTTATTTGCAACTCACTCTCAGTGTAAAAACAAATAATGATTAGGAACCGTTTATTGTCTCGAACAAAATCTAGAATGCAACGAGAACTGTAGGACCAGATTCCAATTTTAACATTTTTACGCCGAACCTCGAAATAAATATCCTTACACTATCATGGAAACGGTATTTTTTCCTATTAGGTTAGCGCACCGCGACAATTTCTTCTTTCACGACGAAATTTTTAATCCACTGAATGTGCTTTTCTTTATGTTTACAGGAAGTCTTCCCCTAACGCGGTTTCCATATTGCGCGTAATAAAATGGCAACGACCTTTCTATAACACGGTACAAATTACTTCCTATTGTAATATGTTGTAATGTGAATGTTGGATGAATGTTAATATTTAAAACCACTAGGCATGTTTATACGTTTTATAGTTGTCAGTTATGTTTATGTTAGTAATTTATTGATTATTCATTCATTTTGTATTTTGTATTGCGATTTGATTTTGTCTATGATATGTTGTCTGTTGTCTTTGAATTTTGACAGTTTTACGCCAAACCTCGAAATAAATATCCTTACACTATCATGGAAACGGTATTTTTCCCTATTAGGTTAGCGCACCGCGACAATTTCTTGTTTCACGACGAAATTTTTCATCCACTGAATCTGCTTTCTTTCGTTAATGTTTACAGTAAATCTTCGGTAATTATAGAGAACAGGTACATCCTCACCGATTTCGATGATTTTTGAATATGTTGTAGAAATCAACATTTTGAACAACTTTTTCCTATACATATAACCGTCGCTCGACCTTAGTTTCCGAGATATTTGCAAAATACCATTGCTACTACTACAATGAATATTGCGTATAGCTACGCGTCCGTGACAGCGTGTGTGTAAGCGTTGAGTCGTCGATTGTTTAGGCTGGGAATACACATACGCGACTGTGAGTCTGTATGCGTTAGCTATCATTCGCTGGTCGGCTCGTGTTTCAATCTGTTCCGAATTCATTTATACATATAAAGTAGCGCATGATCTGTATTCGTACAGTAAAAAAATGGGGTTCCGGGGGCTCGCTCCCGGTCGGGGGTTTGGTGGCGAAGCCCCCAACAACGAGTACTGCAGCGCATCACTCAGGTGTGTACACGGTTAGCCTGAGGGGTGTTTATGCTTTCCATATATGCTTTTCAATTTTTGTAAAAGGATTTTGCGCGAAAATTATACGCATCGAAATTACGGGAACTCACAGACGCGTACGTGTATTCCGAGCCTAAACGATCGACGACTGAACGCTTACACACACGCTGCCACAGAGGCGTAGCTATACGCAATATTCATTGTAGTAGTAGCAATGATATTTTGCAAATATCTCGGAAACCAAGGCCGAGCGACGGTTATATGTATACGAAAAAGTTATTCACAATGTTGATTTCTACAACATATTGAAAAATCATCGAAATCGGAGAGGATGTACCTGTTCTCTATAATTGCCAAATCTTCCCCTATCGCGGTTTCCATATTGCGCACAACAAAATTGCGACAACCTTTGTATAACGCGGTATAAATTACTCTATTTAGTAGTAATTCCGAGTTTATTATAACGCGGTTTCTATATCACACGATACGTGGTTTCTGTATAATATTCTGTATAATCGAATAAATTCTGTTTACACTAATTCTATTGGGTTGTCCGGAAAGTTCATGGCTATTTTTAAGAAAAATTCAAATGCATATTTGAATTTTGATGTATATTTATTGAATTATATATGTACCATTTTGTGCCACAACCTTTTCACCTGTTAACACTTTATTTACCGGGAGCCTATTTATAGGCTTTTTAATTGCAGTACTTAGTTATTCGAATTTATTTACTGTGTTGATGGTTGTCTACTCTCAATGTTCGGTGTTTGGTAACAGACTTGGCTTTCAATGTACCCAGTAACAGTATGGAGGAATTATTGTCAGTTATTTCTACACATGCTACTGTAGAAAATTCTTTTTTGAATTAAAGTCTGTTTCTAAATAGCCCGGTAGGTAAAGTGTTAAGGAATGTACACATTTTATTTGTTTTCAGCCATTCCGATATATTCAGACCTGCTAATAATCAGCATGGACTTTCCAGGCAGCCCAATATTTACACTAGTGTCTTATAATGTGGTTTTTTATATAACATATTAAGAATTAATCGAGTTGTAGGAGGATTGAGTATACATAGGTTTAATCGTGGAATGATGGTGTAATGGCTGACGAAAGTGTCTCTACAATATTTTTCACCGTCATAGAATAATTATACATCTTCAACTCGCGACATGGTAGCCATGTTATACATGTAAATTGGCACTCGAGCCAAAATGAATTTGATTTGCATGCTCTAGATTGTAAAGAGCATGCGTATCTCGAGGTTACATTGTCTTGGGGTTTGTTCGCTTAATTAAGATCTTTGTAAATGTAGTCACGTTTGTACATGTAGCAGTTCGCGACGCAGGACACTGCGCATCGAAGATGTGTGTTCCGCGCAGACATCTTGCGCACCCTCGAAGCATAGCTTAAGGGGCTTGGAACATTAAAAAATGAAAAAAAATCACTTTTTTAAAAATTAAAATTCAATTCTGAACAGTTCTGTGCAATCAGAATTTAATTTGGAACACTGAAAACGGTGAAAACGAATTTTTGAAAAAAGAATTTAGGTGAAAGATAATACAAAAAACACTCGACGATATGAAAAAAGTAAAAAAAAAAAAATATAAAAAAAAATGCGATAAAACTGTAAGAAAATATAAGGAAACAGAACTAACAACTTTTGTGGAGAGAAAACAATGGCACAGTCAAATTTGCGGGAGACCGGAGTCGCGGTTACCTTGGTTACAGCCATAGAGTATTATTTTCTAGGGTAAAAAACACAGTAAATTATCAACAAGGTAGCGTCGATTGATTTTGATAAAAATAGATACGATTAGATAACATTTATATCGATAATCGAGCGGGAAATACAAATTTTTAGTTGTCTACAAAATTCTAGTCTCCTGAAAAGTTAGGTTTTTGGTATAAAGATGCATTTATCTCTGGACCTAATTGATTTTTTTTAAGTGTTTCTTTTTGCATAATATACAGAAACGATAGGACTAAAAACAGACCGAGAATTTTTTTGAAATTCCAAATGGTGAATTTTTAAATAATTTTCAAAATTGAAAAAAAAATTTAAAGTTTTCTTGAAATCAAAACATTACAAAAATTCTCGGTCTAAATTAAGTCGTACTATTAAAAAACAAGTGTGTAAAATTTCGTTAATTTCGGCCTAACCGTTTCCGAGAAAAGTGTACCTTTATGGAGAAATTTTTACTTACAAAAATACCATATGTTTCAATCTCCTTAAGAAACAGCAAATTTCAACTGCTTATACATCGATATCAAAGCTGTAGTTTGCAAATTATTAAAGGTTTTTTTTTTATTCGTACTAGTATCAAAACCTTATCCTCCAATAAGCGCTCACATATTCAGAAACACTCTGTAGATAGAATAGGGGAGCCAAAGTTCTGTTAAAAAAAAAAAAGGAAAGAAAAACCCGCGGTACCTGTCTCCGTTTGCCAGTGCATTTTTATATCACTTTTATGCTAACGATAAATGGTTATCTTTTATACTTTTAATAATAACATATATATTTTACATTCACATTAGTGAAAGTACAGAGATAGATAAGTTATCCTGCCTTTTTTCTCTTTCTAACGGTGTGACATTTCCACTCACAAGCAAGCTTATTTCTCTCTTGCTCTATCTATGATATCTCTATGCTTTCCGAGGTGTCGTTAAATAAGTATTAGGTTGTCCAGTAAGATCGTGTCAATTTCTAAAAAAAATTCAAAAGCATATAATATATATACATGTATTTATTGAATTACATAGGTGCCATTTTGTCCCACAACCTTTCCACCTTTTAAGGGATAGATACATGTTATTTGTTTTCAACCATTTCGATATATTCAGACCTGTACCACCTACCAAAAATCGACATGGACTTTCCGGACAACCCAATACATAAATCTTAACCAAGCTAACATTCATAATCTTTGAGTAAATAATTAATCTCCAAAAGGGCTAACATATTAAGAAACACCACGTATAACAGTGCGATTGAACGGGTATAATGACACTAATGACCTATATCTAAAAACACTACACCGAAAAGAATACAAAAGACAACCAAAAACATTCTAAAAATTTATATATTAAAAATAAAACTAACAGAATTGCTTGTATTCGATTGAAAGAATTATTATATAATTTTTATAAGAATTTAGAATTTTATAAGAGTTTAGCAAGAATCGAGTTTAAAATTTGTCCTATTTTCCATACCTAAAATTGAAAGATAATGCAAAAACAGATAATTCTTCAGATAATTTCTCAACATTCCAGACCAGATTATCCTCTTACGTTACTACCTAAATTCACTGTATTTTGAAAAGAAGAACATTTCATTCTTCGAGTATCATCTGACATTGTAAGTGTCGCTTAGTATGCGCGAAGCGTTGCGGCTGATATAGATTCCTACTTATTTAGACGAATGGCGGAAACTTGCAATATCCGGAACCAGCCAGTTTAAGTTTACGTGACGGAGGAGAATTTGTTAAACAACCTGGCGTGTCACGAAACGAATAACAATGTCAGCGTAATATCTTACATTCAAGCTTGTCAACGAATTTCGAGGGCAGTACGATGAATCACCGACAACGATGAACAAAATATGATTTTATATTGTATCGTAAAATTCGACGATAGATACATTAATTCTGGACGGTCTTAAGTAAACGTTAAGGTTTAAAAATAGGTGGTATCACCGATAAACACTGACGCTGATACACTACGATAACATACTTGCGTAGAGAAAAATGAAATTGAAAATATCGGATGTCGTCGAATCGACGCAAGTACGAACCAGTCGCGTTTTACATTTCAAATCGTATCTTTTTTCTCACGATTTGCATAAACACGTTGCAACATGAATTAATCTTTTTAAGCCATGACACTGCTACTCCTGGGCATACCAATATATCAATATTATTCTAATTAGTAAAGTTAAATAAAATGAGATATGTACATACAGGGTGGAGTAGCTAATCTGTAACAGTGCAATAATATCTAAACTATCGTCGATAAAAAAAACCTTTCAGGAGAAATTTAGAGGATTCGAGGAAGGATATCTAATATGACTATTGCTTCCTTTGGTACAGATGACCAAAACTTGAGGTATTTGACACAGTCTTGACCTTGACACAGTTTCATCATTTATACAAGAAGCAAAAAAACAATAGATATTGACCACCTCGAACCCTCTAATTTTTTCCTGAAAGTACTTCTCGGTATAGACGATAGTCAGAGCGTTATTGGTCTGTAACAGGTTAACTGCTCCATCCTGTATGTACATATCTCATTTACTATAAAATATTTCATTTCTTTCTTTATTTTCCTCTATTGAAAAATAAATTCTTAGATTTATTCAGGATAGTGATTTTTTCTACTACTGATTAATTAAACAGTGAAAAGGTTACGGATAAGATAAGTAGCAGAATTTGTACTTACACTGCCTCCGTTGAAGCATAAGGACTTTCTCCGTTTTGGGCTATTAGGTTGGACGACGATAAAGACTCTAGAGGAATCTATAAGAAGAACAAAAAAAAATACCGTTTTACGTCTCTACGAAAGAGTTTATTATGCCTGGTGTCCACTAGGAGAATTTTAATTTCAAGAATCGGTATCAAGACTATCATCGATGAACACGATATTTGAGAGTAAAAGGAACCCATTACAAGGTCAACAGTATTTTGCAAATTTAAATATTGGTAATAATATTGACTATTCAAGTGTAATATTGCAGATTGATATCTTGAAACAATAAGAAAGTGTTTAATATTATTATGGAAGCCATGTTAATATACTGAGATGTACGCTGTACTGTACAATATTACTCTAGTTTCTTATTCTATTGACGTGCTATAAGTGCACATATCATTCTGAATAATATTGAACCGTGTGAATCACTACTATAATAATATTAATACTATGTGAATATCTTAAGGATTCTTTCGTACGAGGCGACCTTGCAAGTACAGATTATTATCTACATAGAACAAACAGTTTTTGATCTGTTCATCGTTCGATGAAAATCAATAATACAAATTAAAACTGAAATGAAATTTCTCATTGAATGAACAAAAGCTTATCCAAGTAACCGTCCGATCGAATATACATTGGCAATAAAATTCTGTTCATCCCTAGCTCACGAGTGATGAAACAATTTTCGTCATGAAGATTGTTCATGAAGATGATTTTCATCGCTCATATTCTTGCTCGCATGAAAGGCTCTTATTCTCGATACCAATTCTCAAGGGGGCTATAGAAACGAGATCAGTTGCTTACGTCGGAGAGAACCGTGCAATCGTAGCTTGGCTGGTATTTGTCCTGCTCGTGCGGCGGTCGTCGCAAAATTTTGTCCCGATCTTGTTTATGCTTGCGATCGGCTCCCTTTAACTTGAAGACTTTCACTTGGCAAGAAGCGGCATGCAGACGGGGCCCACCTGGTAGCCGTGTCTCCACTTGGATTCGAAACGGCACGCCTTTTTCTCCACCGTGCTTTTTTGGCGTGAATTCGGTGCTGATGCAGTTCACCTGAATTTCAAAAAGAATTCAGCACAAAGTTATTTAAAATAGCAGCTCATGGATTCGTCGAGACGAGACTTCTAAAAACTCTTGTAGTCTCCAGTTTATGGATATTGTTCGAAAGGAAAAATGTATGTAAATACATTCTTTATACATCTAATTCTTAGATAGAATAGGAAATTTTGTATATAGTCATATGAACTTTGAGGAGGCGTTTGCACAGTATTTAAAATTACAGGCAGACACTTCGAAAGCATTCTTTGTGAGAATCATCTCTTCTTCACTGCTCTTAAGAGCAAAGAGTTAATAGATATAACGCAACCTACCAGTTGATTAAATAAGGATCTTCTTTTCTTTTACAGAGTGTTTTGTTCTTGTTTGGCGAACTTTAATGTATCTGTTGTGGTAAATGCAATAAACTGGGGATTGTGCATAATTCCCACTAAAGTTTGTAAATGTGATAAGTTATGGAATATTTATAAAATTAACCGGTGATTTTATATAATCCCCAACTCGTAATGGGAAATGTTACGAAATTGTTAATGCATATACTGTCTATATGGAAATACTGTCTGAGTAGGTTTGGTGTAGGAATATATTGGTGAGGGTGGGATTATTGAATACTGTTAAATATAATTCCCATCAGGTAATGGAGAATGTG